TTTGTTTCCCTTTTTTCTGCTTGGCTTGCGCGGGCTGCACGGGAACGGATTGGAGCCGCTCCCTTTTCGGGCGGCGGCGGGAAGGGGCCTGGGAGCTTTCAGGCAGACAGCTTCATAAAAACACTGAACTCAAGCAAGTTTCTGATGGTTCCTTAAAAGATAGTCACCTTCCCGGTGACTGTTAGCTTAGCAATTATTAACCAGAGTCTTTCGGACCTGGATTTGTGTATTTCTTTGGCAAGAACAGCTACTTCAACAGCCCTTCCTCTCTCCCCTCCCTCTCCTCTCTCCTGCTTCTTCTCCTTTTTAAATTGGATGGAATGACTGACACCCTCCTGCCTCCCTCCCTCCCTCCCCCAGCAGATAGTTTCGCTGGTTCAGCTAAATGACCTGGTTTTCCATGCCGGGCTGTGGTGGGAAGATGTGGAGCTGGGACCAGGCACGTTTGTTTGGTCTGGTCTGTCTGGATGGTCTGCAAAGCTCTGGTGGAGGAGGATACAGGATCATGATCATGCCGTGGGTTAGTGACCCCTGCGAGCTGATCATCTGTCTTCCATAAGCTGAGAAATGGGAATTTCTTACAAGGAGGCAAGCTCAGCTCTCAGAGAGGGGTGAAGCCACCCTGTCATCCCACTGGAGCACGAGGCAGAGCTGCTCTGCTCCCTCCTCGTGGAGGAATAGCTCCATGTTCACTTTCAGCTGCTCCTTGTCCCCAAGGGGGTGCAGTATGTTTATCAAAAATTGGATTTTCAGGCAGCTGACATCTCTAAATGATGGGTTTAGCGAGTTAGAGGTAATAACACACTGTTTTCACATGGATCCTGGAATGTTTCAGAGGGTGAAAACACGTGGACTCAGTTCTGTGCCTGGATAGCATCCTGAAGAATTATAGAATCATGGAATGGCCTGGGTTGGAAGGGACCTTAAAGCCCATCTTGTTCTACCCTTTGCCATGGGCAGGGGCACTTTCACTAGACCAGGTCGTTCCCAGAAGCAATGGAGCATGGCCCAGAAGCCAGAGGTGAATTCCTTGGATGTAATCCATACGCTGAGGGGTTTACCCTCAGCTTGGCTCTGACTACCAGATATCCCTGCCTGAAGCCAGAAAGGCTCCGACTTGGCAGGCTGGGACTTGTCGCGACATGGGCCTCTTGCTCATTATTTTCCCAGTGTGGACTTTCCCAAAGGAAATGGGAAAAGCAGCCTGCGGTTCTGTCCCCTCCCCTTCCCCGGCGCTCTTCTGGGGAGACAATGAACCTTTTACACATTCCCAATTACAAGTGCTACTTGTGACCTTGCCAATATGTTGTCATGGCTGCTTGGCGCAGAAGCAGCTCCGCGAACTCATTCACGGCCCCTTGGCCGGGAACAGTTGGAGCCGCTGAATTGTCGGGCGCCCTTTGTGCTGGATTCACACACCGCCCCGGGGCTGTCCCGGCCGCAGAGCCGGCCTTGCCCAGCCCTTGGGAAGCGCCTTGCAGAAGGTGCCAGTCAGGCACTTGGTGCCTGTTTTCTGACTCGCTGTAAATTCTTCCTTTTCAAGGCTCTGACCTTTCCTAGCTCCCAGTTTCCTTCTCCCTTTGTCCCGCGGCTGCGGCGGCGCTCGGCGGAGGGGACCCAGTGCCTGCGAGCCGGGTTCCACGCCGGGGCTTTCTCTGGAGCCGGGCCAGGCTCGGGAGCTCAGCGAAGCCCAGCTCAAACCCGGGACTGCCTCTTTTTTTTGGCTAAACCGGTAGCTGTGCCCCCTTTCCGACCGAATTGTCGGGGCTGACAGCTGCAGATGGATCGCTCTGGGCTGGGGAACAAGCGGGCTGGCTCTGCGGAGCTGTCAGGTTTCACAGCTGTATATCTCACCTCTTTGTCAGCCTCTTTTCTCCTCGCTCTCCCCCAGCCCACCCTGTGCTATCTTTTGATAAGCTATTCTCTCCACGGATGACTCAGATGACCTCTGCCTCCCATCCTCCCGATTCACTGCCATGGTAACAATTACTCAAGCTTGTCCCCAGTCATAAACCCCATCAAAGCTTTGTTATCTACACAGAAACCCTCCCGGGAGACATGAATTCCCCCAGTGTTCCTTCCAGATCACCTGTAACAGAGCTTTTCTCATTCAGATCCTCTTTATCTTTTGGAAATGTGTCACTTCACACCAGCACTGCTTTGAATCTTGCTGCCTACACGGAGCTGTGGGCTGGCTGCTGCTGGGGGATGCATCCCAACCAAACTGGGATTGTGGCAGCAGGGAAGGACAGAAGGATGGAGATTTGGCCCTTCTCTTGTATTATGGAGTCCAGCACTGTTCAAAGCTCTTCAACGGGGAAAGACATTCCAGAGGTGTTGGGAAGCTGATGGAGGGTGCAGGGTTGGAGTGAGGAGAGAGCTGGAGGCCAGGAGAGGTGGTGGCAGAGCTGTGCCCAGGGCTGGCACTGGGATCTGGATCTGAATGTGAGAGAGAGACAGGCAGAGGGATAAGGTTCCATGGGAATAACCCTGCTGCCTGGAAATGCATTTCCATGAGAACTAGAAAATCACTCGTATCTTTGGACCGGTGGAGATAAGACCATAGGAGAGAGAACTAAAATTAAAACTTGCTTTTGGGAGGGTACAGGGGTGCCTGCCTTGTGCACACACCAGGAGCAGCAGGTGAGGAGGATTTTCTTTCCTTCTTGTTTGACCTGGCAGGTCAGGAGGAATGAAGAGCTCACCCAAGAGCTCCTCAAGCTGGCCAAAGGCAGGAACACCCTTCCTGGCACAGAGAGCACCCACCCGCCTGCCACGGCCCATCAATCCTCTGCAGAGCTGGAAAGAGTGAGGGGGAAGGTAAGGAACTCTCTGCCCTTCCACCAGCTCCTTGGACAACAAGGATCTGACAGGCCCTTCTGTGTCTCCTAAAACCAGCCTGAAGATGTAGTTGCCTCTGGACACGAGCGGCAGGAGCTGGAGAGAAATGTGAGCATGTGGGGTCTGCTGCTGGATCCTTGGGAAACAGAGGGGGGGACTGATTCCAACTGTGGCTGGCACCCCCTTGTGCTAACTTGAGTTTTGTGGATCAGCTGATGCCTTGATTAATTTTAAATTATTTTTTAAGCTGTGCAGTTGCCAAATGAGGCTGGGGTAACTCCAGATGTGCAGGCAGAGCTGAGGGAGGGCACAGGTGGTGCCCTCGGTCCGTGCCCTGTCAGGTGAACATAGGCAGGAGTTTAAAATCCAACAAGTGCAGAGGACACTTATTTTCTTCTTGCTCACACTTGAGAAAGCTGGGGGTGATGAAGCACCCGAAACTGAGAGCAGGGAGATGCTCTCAGCCTCCTCCCCATCTGCAGTCCCTGCAAAACCGCCACCAGCTCCTGCTGGGAATGTGGCTCTCAACGTGAGAATTTCCCTTGGGAGAGCGACACGTGTGCCCCTCCACGTGCCCTGTCTGCAGATCAGACTCCATTTCTGGTGTGCTACAGGGCACCAGTCCCTTCCAGTTAAACCAGTCCTTTCCCCAGCATGTCACCGCTCACTGGAGCCTCTCCTCACTTCATCCTCTCTTTGCTCAGCCTTCTGCCTCATCTTCCTCTTTGTTTGTCCCTCAGTTGCTTGGAAACCAGGATCACATAAAAGTGGAGCTTGAAAAACTGAAGAAAACCCACGACTGGCAGCAGAAGCTGGAGGAGCGAGTGTAAGTGTTGGGGGCACCTTCTGCTTGGCTGGGCATTTATGGGCTTCACTGCAGCTGGATTTGATCCATGGGAGCAGGAGAAGGAGGCAGGCTGTCTCTGGTGGGGTACAAGGTGGGAATGATGATTCACCCTTGGAAGAAGTGAGACCTGGAAGGAAAACCTGATGTTTTCAAGGCTCTTCAAAGAGTCAGCTGCCTGCTTAAAGTTGGTGGTGTTTAGGGACACCTTGAAAATCCACATTCTGTAAAACACAGCAAATGTGTGACAGCCCAGAGATGAATCCAGCCCCAGCCCTTACCCCCACAGCGGGTCTTCCATTGTCATGGGATGTGGTTGATGTCCTGGGAAAGGCTGCCCCAGCTGGGATGCTGCAGGACTAGACCCTGTGCCTGGGGAAGACATTCACCTTTGATGGGGAGAGTTCTGTGGTGCTGGTTGATGCACATCTGGGGGATGGCAGCTGCTGCTGGGAGATTTCTGTCATCCCAGTGATTTCCTTCCCCAAGCTGGCTGTGTTGGACCTACAGAGACTCCCAGAATGGTTTGGGTTGGAAGGGACCTTAAACATCATCTCATTCCACCCCCTTGCCACCTTCCACTAGACCAGGTTGCTCCCAGCCCCATCCAACCTGGCCTTGAACACTTCCAGGGATGGGGCAGAAGTTTGGGGGGGTTAAAATATAACACATTTTCTTCCTGTGTGCCCAGGCTGGGGCTGGGGAAGGAGCTGCAGGAGGCAAAGGGAGCGATCGGGGACACGCAGCGCAGGCTGGTGGAGCAGTCAGCGGTGAGGACAGGCTTCCTTCCCCTGCTCTTCCTTCAAGCCATGTGCTATTCCTGAGCTTCCAGGGGGGCATGCCTTGTATCCAGGTACTCTGACACCTCTTCCTCTCCAGGGAGCTTTTCCCACCAAGGTTCTCCTCCCCGTGCAGTTTCCTTCCGCACGTGGTGGAAGGTGCTGCTTGCTCAGGTGGTGGGAGGAATTTTGTTCACTGATTTTTAGAAAGAGTTGGTGGAATCACCGGGGTGGGGAGGTGGCAAATGACAGAAGGTAGCAGGGGAATTGAGGCTATAAACATTTCCATTGGACTTCTCTGAAAACTCAGGACCTTCCCAGCTCTAGGGAAGCTGAGTATCTGGAAAGGAAATCTCCAGTGTATTATGGAGCTTCTCAGTTCCCCCTCCTTGGCTGGAGGGCAGCAGTTTCTTTGTTTGTTGTGCCCAGGTGCTGCTCACGTCCCAGAGCCAGCTGCAGGAGGTGGAGGCAGAGAACTCCCGGCTGCAGCTCCGGCTGAAGGAGCTGAACGAGGAATATCGCTCCCGGCTGGCGCGGTACATCAGGGACGTGGCGGTGGGTACCCCCAGCCCCGGGGGCTCTGCTGGCCTGGGGAGAATCACAGAATCATGGAACATCCTGAGCTGGAAGGGACCCATAAGGATCATGAGTCAACTCCTGGTCCTGCCCAGGACACCCCAACAATCCCACCCTGTCCCTGAGAGCATTGTCCAAACCCTCCTGGAGCTCTGGCAGCCCTGGGGCTGTGCCCACTGCCCTGGGGAGCCTGTTCAGTGCCCAACCAGCCTCTGGGGGAAGAACCTTTTCCTGAGATCCAGCCTAACCCTGCCCTGACGCAGCTCCAGCTGTTCCCTCAGATCTCTCCATGCTGGCTGCCCTCCTCTTGCAGGCTGCTGCAAATAAATAAGACTAAATAAGTGAATAAGAGGATCTTTCAATCCCGTTATCTGGCCAAGAAAAATCCCAGCAGAAACTCACAGATCATTTTGCAGGGCTATACAGGAAAACTGGGTGCAGAGGGAGGCTGACTTAGAGTCATAGAATGGGTTAGGTTGGAAGGGACCTTAAAGATCATCTCATTCCACCTCCTGCCATGGGCAGGGACACCTTCCACTAGCCCAGGTTGCTCCAAGCCCTGTCCAACCTGGCCTTGGACACTCCCAGGGATGGGGCAGCCACAGCTTCTCTGCCCAACCTGTGCCAGGGCCTCACCATCCCCACAGGGAAGAATTCTTTCCCAGTATCCCACCCAACCCTGCCCTCTGGCAGCAGGAAACCATTCCCCCTCGATTCCTCTGCCTGTGCATTTACAGAACTACATGGACAGCAAATCCAGCCACGTGACAGGACACAGCAAAACCCCAGCTGATCATGCTGCCATGAAGCACTTTGTGGACAACATGCTGAAGGACATCCGGGCTTCCTACAAGTCTCGGGAGGAGCAGCTGGCACGGGCAGCACGGGGGTACAAGAAACGCATGAAGGACCTGGTGAAGAAGCACGAGAACCTGCTGATTGCCTATGGGTAAGGCTCAGACAGGCTCTGGGCCACCTCTGCCTTCAGGACCAAGTGAAGTGCCCCACAGCACCCACCCCACTGTCCTAGAGGGAGGCGAATGGGGCTCCCAGGGGGAGCAGGGGATGTGGAGTGCACGTTCTCCCTGCTCCTGACAATCCAGGATCGAGGTGCCTCCAGCTGCACGTCAGGGTGCTCTGGACATCATGGAGCTGCTTTGCACATATGTTTCTCCCACATAAAATTCAGGGTGAGAGATGGATCCCACGCTGGATGGTGTGGAAATGCAGAGGTACCACAAATAGCTCCACCTCCCAGCCCATCCCTGCAGTGCTTTCAGCTCCACTCCACAGCTCTCTCAGCAGCTTGGGCTGTGGGAAGCAGCAGAAATACTTGTGGTATAAAAGCTACAAATAGCTCTAGGACAAGCTCCCCTCAGAAACTCTCCCAGGAATGCTCCCACTTATCCTTTGCAGGTGGCCAGAAACCAGCAGGTCCCAAGGGAATGGTACCTCCAGGAGCAGCAGAACTGCTCAGTGTTGTCACCCAAAAAAACAGCCAGGGACTGACCCCTCTGGCACATTACAGGCTCCAGCGAGAGCAGATCCGGTCCCTGGGGAGCAGTGCTATGGACTGTGGCCCTGCTGAGCTCCACTTCTCCATCTCAGACCCAGAGCTGCTCACAAACACCACCCGGGAGCTGAACCGGCTGCGGGAGGAGAAGGCAAAGCTGGAGATGCAGCTCCAGGAACTGCAAAAGGTGGAGGCTGGGCAGGGAAACTGGGGTGGTGGGGAGAGTCTAAAGGTGACACTGAGCCCCTTTCTTAGGTGTTCACAGGATTGTTTAGGTTGGGAAAGCCCTGCAAAATCATCAAGTTCAGCCGCTCCCCCAGCACTGCCAAGGCCACCACCAAACCATGTTACTGGGTGCCACATCCACCCTCTCCCTGAGGATTTGCTGTGCCCATGGCACAGGCAGGGAATATTCCAATCATCTCCCAGTCACAGAACCATGGAATTCCAGAATGGCTTGGGTTGGAAAAGACCTTAAAAGCTCATCTTGTTCCACCTTCCCATCATGGGCAGGGACACCTTCCACTAGCCCAGGTTGCTCCAAGCCCCATCCAACCTGGCCTTGGACACTCCCAGGGATGGGGCAGCCACAGCTTCTCTGGACAACCTGTGCCAGGGCCTCACCACCCTCACAGGGAAGGATTTCTTCCTAACATCCAATCTAAATCTCTTCTCTTTTAGTTTAAATCTGTTCCTCTTGTCCTATCAATCTCTGCCCCGTAAAAGTCACTCTCCCCCCTTTTTGTAAGCCCCCTTTGAAGGGGTACAGTGTACCCCAGCATTCCCACAGCCACCAAAGCCCTGGCAAGGAAATGATGTGCTGTAGAATCTTAAGGTTTTAGGTCTCCCATCCTCTGAATTTTTAAATAAATGCATCCCATGCAAATTAAGAGGTGTTCCTCCCATCCCTGGAAGTGTCCAAGGCCAGGTTGGATGGGGCTTGGAGCAACCTGGGCTAGTGGAAGGTGTCCCTGCCCATGGCAGGGGGTAGAACAAGATGAACTTTGAGGTCCCTTGGAACACAGCCCGTTCCATGACATGGTTTCTACGAAGGTGGCAGGATCTGGGATTGCAGTGGTTGAATGCTTACAGGAATCCTGCTCTTCTTTTGCCTCCAGAAAAGACTGAAAGAAGCCTCTGCCTTTCCACTGCCTCCAGAGCAGTAAGTGCTGTTTGTTTCAGAGGATATCTGTCATTCCAAATTCTCCTTAATGTGTGCATTGAGGAATCTCTTTTGCTTACTTGGAGGCAGCAATAAATAGGGAGAAAGGGAGCTTTTGGGCCCACTCTGGGAAGAACAGCTGGCTGTCCCCTCAGCACAGCCCTTCCCGGGGGGAGGAGAGTTGGTCATTTGGGCCTTGATCCAAGAAAGCTCTTAAGCATATATTTGATTTAATCCTCTTTATAGTCCCACTGACCTCCTTAGAAGCTGAAATTAAGCATATGCCCAAGTGCTTTGGTGGATCACAACCTGAGAAAGGGCTATGGAACACCACCAGTTTGGGATGGTCCTGTTTCTCCTCCCTCCCAGGCTGGAACCCTTCGGTGCCACTGTGCTGATGCCTCTCTGGCTTTCCAACAAGCTCTGGATTTGCTCATTTTTGATGAGTCTTTTCCCCCTGCTCTGTTTTTCTGCTGAAACTCGAACAGCTATAGCTGTGGAGAGCTGGAACAAAACGTAGGAGAAACCTAAGCTGGGATTTTTCAGCCTTTTAAGATGTGGTCACCCAGAAAACGTGTCAGGTATTCCATTAGCTGGGTGCCAGCACCAAGGAGTGGGTCAGTGCCAGAGCCCCTGGGCTCTGGAAGGGTCTCAGGCACAAGCTTGAGATTCAAACAGCCTCTGCCATGCTTTCCACACTGAAAATAGAAGCAGTCCTTGAGTAGATGCATTAATTTCATCAGACTCACCACAGGAGCAAGACATGGAAAATCCAGAGTCTGAATTTTAGTGATGTATCTTAAGGTTTTTTAACTGTCGAGAGACCAAACTTCAAAGTGTGATGGGTTTATCCACGCTGTTACCTTGCCCCTCCAGCTAGTGACATGAATCCCAGTGTTCCCACAGCACTTCAGCCCTAGTTCCTGCTTCTTGCTTTTATCATTAAATCACAGAATAGTTGGGGTTGGAAGGGACCTTAAAGACCATCTCATTCCACCCCCCCACGCCATGGAGGCTTATCAGCTGCATGGACTCCCTGTTTATTGTCCCCTTCTCTTCTTGCTCCCGTGGAATCCCAGCCGGGATCTCCCTGGGCTGCTGGGAGCACAATGCATTCCTCCCCTCACACAGCCCAAATTCCCCGAGCATCAGATGTGACCTGTTATTTTCCTCCCTCAGGCTGGGAGGCAGTGGGAAGGGCTTTCCCACGGGCTGAGCAGACAGCTCACCTATGGTGCTCGCTGAGCAGCACGGGCCGTGCTCCTGTGCCAGCCTGGGGCACTGAGGGCTCTGTTCCCACCAAACCCAGCCCTGCAGTGCCGGGTTCTGGGCTCTTTCTGCACAGAGGCCTCTGACGTGCGAGTGATGATGTGATTTGGAACAGACCCAGCTGCCCTGGTGGGCAATCCCAGGCTGGCAGAAGGGCTGTGACTCCCGTGCCTGGGCATGGGATGGTGCCACATACCCTGAAGAGGTTTGGGCAGTGGGAGAGGAAAGGTTCAAGCACTGGGGTTCATGGTGGGATGGGCATGAGTTGTGTGGAGCTGTGTGACCCGTGGGTGGGCTGGATTTGATATCTGGGTGTGATCCAAATATGCTCTTCTCTCGTAGGCAGCTGGATGAGGAGGGCTGGGCAGAGGTCAGGAAGCAGCTCCAGGAATTCACACACAACACCCAGGTAAAAGTCTGGAACAGCCTGTTGGAGTAAAAGCTTATCCCTCACCCACGTGGCAAAGATGTGCTGCCCTGGGGCCGATGTGCTGCTCCAGGCTGGAGGGGGGAAACTTTCACAGAATCACAGAATATCTCGAGTTGGAAGGGATCCACAAGGATCATCCAGTCCAACTCCTGGCCCTACACAGACACCCCAGCAATCCCACCCTGTCCCTGAGAGCATTGTCCAAACAGTCCTTGAGGTCTGGCAGCCTTGGGGCCGTGATGACCACTGCCCTGGGGACCACCTTCCACGGAGCTTTGCTGTGGCTTTGGCCTCAGCCCATCAAGTGATGCTGACAGGTCCCAGCGGGTGATGTCTCAAGGCTCTTCTGTCCCTGCTGCCAAAGGAAGGAGAGCAGCCCCTCATGGCTCCTGCCTATGTTTCAGAACAAGCCTCTTGGCATCTCTATAACCAACTGGGGGTGCCCATCCCCTGTGCTGGCACTGCTGAGGCACCTCCAATCCTGGGGGCAGTTTTAGGCCCTGCATGACAAAAAGGACATTGAGGGGCTGGAGTGTGTCCAGAGAAGGGAAGGGGCTGGAGCAGCAGGAGAGGCTGAGGGAGCTGGGGGGGCTCAGCCTGGAGAAAAGGAGGCTCAGGGGGGACCTTCTGGCTCTGCAACCCCCTGACAGGAGGGGGGAGCTGGGGAGGGTCGGGCTCTGCTCCCAGGGAACAAGAGATGGGATGAGAGGAAACAGCCTCAAGTTGTGCCAAGGGAGGTTTAGATGGATATTGGGAAAATTTCTTCACTGAAAGGGTGGTCAGGCCCTGGCACAGCTGCCCAGGGCAGAGGTAGAGTCCCAATTCCTAGAGGGATTTAAAAGCCATATGGATGTGGCACTTGGAGATGTGGGTTAGTGGTGGCCTTGGCAGTGCTGGGGAAGTGGTTGGATTTGATGATTTTAGAGGGCTTTTCCAACCAACATGATTCCATTGATTCCATGATTCTGTTTGACCTGGTTCAAGCCTAGGCTGAATCTGAATCAGCTTCCCAGTCTGGTTCTCCCTGGGTGCAAAGATATTTGCTTTCATGTCGTGCCTTTCTCTGTCCACAGTGACCTGAGGAAGGGCTCCACCATTACCTGGGGATGTTGAAAGCCAAACACCTACATTGGGTGTATTTTGTGGCCAAAAAACCAGAGCTGCCGTGGCTGAGAGGCCAGAGCGACGGGGAAGTGGTTGGAAGGGCCTGGCAGAGAGGGACTGAGCAACTTCACTCCAATCTCACAGACCTCCCTGTCTTCTCCATGTTTTCTCCACGTTTCTTTGCCCCTCCAGGAGGATCTGGAGCAGGAGAGGGGCCAGCTGCTGACTCGGGCTGTCGTGGCAGAGGAGCAGGTGTTGGAGCTGCAGGAGTACATAGATCAGCATCTTGCCAGGTGAGACAGTGGGATCCCCCTGCTCTGCCCTGTGCTCCCAGTTTATCTCCAGGCTCATTGCCAGGGACATTATGGTGCCCACCACGCTGTCAGTGTCCACTGCTGGCACTGCCACAGCACTGCCAGCACAGCTGATGTCCTGCTGCACCTCCAGCTGTGCAGGCAGCTGCCACCAGCCCTTGTTCCACAGAGCAGGGACACACACATGCCCAGCCACGTCTCCTTCCTTCCCTGCTCACCCACCCTTTGGAGGAATCATAGAATCATGGAATGGTTTGGATTGGAAAGGACCTTAAAACCCATCCAGTTCCACCTTCCTGCCACTGCAGGGACACCTTCCACTATCCCAGGTTGCTCCAAGCCTTGTCCAACCTGGCCTTGGACACTTCCAGGGATGGGGCAGCCACAGCTTCTCTGGGCAACCTGTGCCAGGGCCTCACCACCCTCACAGAGAAGAATTCCTTCCCAATATCCCATCTAACCCTGCCCTCTGGCAGTGGGAAGCCATTCCCCCTTGGCCTGTCACTCTAGGCCCTTGTTCAAAGTCCCTCTCCAGTTCCCTTGGAGCCCCTTTAGGCATTGGGAGGGGCTCTAAGGTCTCCTTGGAGCCTTCACAAGGGGCTAAGAGGGGGTTGCCTAAAATATGAAGCCTCCCAGCAGCCCCTGATCCATGTTCCTCTCTCCCTGGCTCATCCTGCCCCGGAGCAGGAGAGGAGCTGCTGGGGCAGGGAAGGGTGAGGACAAGCAGGGCCTGTCTGTCAGACCATGATCCACCTTTCCTGCCGTGACTCCCCACCTGGGAACTCAGGTCAGGCTCTGCAGAGCCCACGAACACCTTTGAAATGAAAGGCTGTGGGTTCCTACTCGCCAGGCACAGCTCCTGGCATGGCTCAGTGCCCGGGGACTGTGCCTGCACTGTACTGCTTCCCACTGCAGGTACAAGCAGGAGATCCTGCGGCTCAGGAACGCTGAGGGCAGCGAGGGGCCACGTGTGCTCGGTGCCAGGGCAGCTGCTGCTCCCCCCCTGCCCAGAGCCAGCACTGTCAGCCATGATCCATAGCACTCCGTGAGGAGCAGCACCAGCACAGGGAAGAGCAGGATTCAAAGCAGGAGGTTTGTGTTCCATGGACTGCCAGGCCGGGAGCTGGGAGCAGCGAGGGGGAGCACGTGGGTGTTCCCCGTCTCGAGTTCACAGGACTAAAATGAGACAAGGCAACTGTGTCTCGTCTTTCCCCGTCTGTCCCCGGGCTGCAGGAATTCTGCTGTTCCCTGAGCACATCACGGACACGGGGTCAGGTTCCCAGGCAGCTCTTTAATGCTGGGCTGCAGGGACAGGTTCCTGTTCCTGCTGTAACATTTCTGCTGGGTGAGACCTGGACCAGAGCCCAAGGGCTGCTCCTGCCTCGCTCCCCTCCCCTCCCTCCCAGCTCCCGTGAGACAGAGCCAAGTCTGGCTCAAGGCACTCTGAGGTTGGACAAAGGGATGAGCTGCTCTTTACTTGTGAGGGTGGGGAGGCCCTGGCACAGGTTACCCAGAGAAGCTGTGGCTGCCCCATCCCTGGAAGTGTCCAAGGCCAGGTTGGACGGGGCTTGGAGCAACCTGGGCTAGTGGAAGGTGTCCCTGCCCATGGCAGGGGGTGGAAGGAGATGAACTTTGAGGTGCCTTCCCACCCAAACCATTGTATGATCCTAAGATTCTGTGGTGGGAAGACCCTTTTTTTCTCTGTGTTTGAGTGGAAAATGGAATGTCACACAGATGAGAGGGCCAAGGTGATCCTTCAGGGAGGTGAGCTGGACACACTCCCTCCTGTGTTACCTTCAAAGGGACAGTGGAGCAAAGCCAGAGTCCAGGACCGATGCATGCTATGGTTCCAGGACTGTCCTGCAGCTCAAAGGCAAACCAAAAACCTCAAAGGAACAACCAACTAAATATTTATTTTGAAAAATTAAATAAAGTAGTAAACATACAGAGGCACTGGAGCTTTAGTCCTTAAATCTTGTGTTAATCCCAGGATTTCTAGGTCTGATTTTCTCCTCCCTTGCTTCTCCCAAACTCTTTGGAAAACTGAGTGACTGCCACCCTGCAAGTCCCCAGGACAAATCCTGGCCAAGCACTGCTGTCCTGAGCTGAGCCTAGGGCTGGAGAGGCTCTGACCCTTAATGCCAGGCTTAATGAGGCTGGTGTTAGACTGAGCTTAACGAGGCTGGTGTTAGACTGAGCTTAACAAGGCTGCTGTCAGACTGGGCTCCCCTGGGCGCTGCTCTGCGCTGCTCGACGCACCTCCTTCATGTCATAGGCCCAGACCTGCTCCAGCCCCTGCCCCAGGGTGCTGCTGGGAGTCCAGGACGGGAAGGGGAAGCGTCCAGACACCACCCGGGCCCCGTCGGGGAGTTCTGCCAGGAGCTTCGTGGCCAAGGGAGGTTTCTGGGGAGAGAAGAGCCAGGGCCAGGCAACCTTAGGACACGGTCATGTAGTGGCAGTGCCACCAGGGATCACAGGGCAGCTTCTGGTGGGACCCAAGCAGGGGCATCAAGCATTCAAAACACAGGGCTGGTACTGGCCCTGTGTAAGGCTGGGACTAGGAGTAAGTGATGAGCAACAGGACAAGAAGAAACAGCCTCAATTTGTGCCAGGGGAGGTTTAGATTGGATATTGAGAACATTTCTTCATGGAAAGGGTGGTCAGGCCCTGGCACGGCTGCCCAGGGCAGGGGTGGGGTCAACATCCCTGGAGCAGCCACGTGGATGTGGCACTTGGGGACATGGGTCAGTGGTGGCCTTGGCAGTGCTGGGGGAATGGTTGGATTGATGATCTCAGAGGGCTTTTCCAACCTTAACTATTCCATGGTTTTATAAATCCTGCTGCTGCTGAGCACCAAATCACTCGCTCACAGAAATGCCCACTTGGCCTTATTCTGTCCCAGATCCCCTCTCTATTCCAAGAAAAGCCTCCTCGAGCTCCCCCTGAACAACTCAGGATGTGAGGGACCAACTTACCACGCTGGGGGCCAGGAACACGATCACATTGCTGCAGTCAGAAAGATCCACCTTGAAAGGGAAGGAAAAGGGGAATGAAAGAAGCAACAGGCACAGGGAGAACAGGCGGAACCATCTAAGTGTCCAGGCCTTGTGGGTGATCTTCTTCTGAACCTCGGAGGGTGCAAAGATGCCCCAAAACATGTGGGATGGGGACATGTGGGTGTGAAAGCAGCACTTGTTGGGAAACACCTGCCTCCAGCACCATCCCAGAAACACATTCCCTGAGGGATTCTCTCCAGTTAGGCTGTGGGTACCTGATGTTAGCCTTAGAAGCTCGTCACCGTGTCAGCGGCACACAGACCTCTCCTCAAAGCTGCTCCACGAAGGAGCTCTGCCATTCCCCTGGAAAGGAGGGTGGTTTTCCACTTCCCTGGAGCACGTGGGATGGGGAAGCAGTAAGCAGCCACCAGCAAAGCCAGCCTGGAGACGCAGACAGAACCCTGGCCCTGCCCTGGCACAGCCAGACCCTCAGGACACTGTTACCTTCCAGAGATCTTCCTTCAAGAAGGAGACCTTCCCGTGGTACCCGGCCCTCCAGGCACGGTAGTTGGCGAGACACAGCAGCCAGGGATTGAGCTCATAGCCCAGGGCTGGCCTCAGGCCCTGCTTGTAAGCCTCGACCACCTGGAGAGGGAAGAGAGGTGAAACCAAAGGATCTCAGTGTTGAGTCTGGGGGGCGATCCGAGGGGACAGGGGCTGTTGCCCAGCTCCACTCCCTCCCTCCAGCTGGCTCACAGGCAGGGTGACCTTGGTTCTCAGCACCTTCCAGAGCATGCATTCCCACCCTGCTCCCTGCATGTGATGTCTTCTAGGGCTGTCTAGGACCACACACAACTATGTAGGGCCACCTAGGACCACCTAAGGCCACGTAGGGCCATCTAGGACTATCTAGGACCACTTAGGACAGTCTAGGACTACATAGGCATATTCAGGACCACCTAGAGCTGTCTATGGCCATTTAGGACCATGTAGGGTCATTTAGGACCACCTAGGACCATTTAGGACCACCTAGTTCTGTCTTGGGACCATCCAGAACCACCCAGGACCCTCTGGAACCCCCTATAATTGTCCCATACCACAGCCAGGAGGACCACCCAGACCCACAGCCAGAAGTGGGGCAGCAGAT